AATCTAAAATTTAGAAAAAAAAACCTTCATATTCATTTTTTTATGGAAATACAGCGGAAACCCATGCTAAAAAGTACATTTTTWGATTTACTGTTTAATGAGACTTTTTGATGCGAAATTTAGTATAAGACTGTAATAAACACATTGATGTTTGACTAATRTTCTTAGTTCCAATGTCAAGTGAAAATGTCTCACCAAAATAAAACTTAAAACCTTTTAAAAACCTTGTAAAGAAGTGCAAACTTAAAAATTTTAAGTGTTTTCGCCCAAAACCTCCTTAAATCAAACGGGTTCAGACAAACAGAAACACAAAGATYCACACAGGTGTGTGAGACACACATGCTCAGACACATACCTGCTGCTGATGCTGMTGCTGCAGTCACATGACCTCCAATTACTGTTATCTCTATCATCCAATTTTGTACCACGGTCACAAAATCAGCCCCCGAGAACTGAACAGATGGGTCTTGCGTCTGTGTTTGTGTGTGTGTGTGAATATGTGTGACTCCACATATATCTGTTGTGTGTATATATGTGGGTGCKTTAAGAGCTTCGCAATGAAGATCATTCCAGTGGCAGAATTGCTTACTGTCATTCATGCCCTATACACAAACACACAAATACACACCTGCCTTTATTAAAATGTCACATTCAGTGAATATACTGTGTGCTGTCATGCTGTCTGCTTTGAATGGGAAAAGGCTGCATATTTACAGTGAATTGTAAATCCTGCCGAGCACTCAGCTGTCAAAGACTTATGAATTGCTAATATGTTGTATCYCGCACTGCTGATTCCACGCTATCTGCCCCCTATCACTTTCATTGTGCGCAGAGCAAAAAGCGAGGGCAGGGAATCAGAAAGATCTAACCGTGCTAAAGGGAAATAAAATGTAGAGATGAAGAAATCAAGACACAAGGAATAAAAATTTACAATACAGACTGTCACAACATTTAAAACCACTACATGAACTGTTATATCCTAACTTATAAGATTGGATTTTACATTTTACTTTGTGCTTTAGCAGTTTAACTGGTTTCAAACTGAGCATTTTACTCAGGAATCCTTTTGTTCTCTCTAATCAATCATGTATTAGCCACCGACAGTCAGCACCTAAGACAATCACATAAATTACAACAGAGCACTAATCAATGCTGGCCTCATATTGTTGGGAATCTCTTTAATAAAAACATCTACCRTTTACTGGACTGAAATTCTTTACCCATTACTTTCACAAGCTTGATGTTAGAGTGAAGGACATCCATTACAGAAAAAAAAAATAATGCTGATTGTTTCAACAAATAATTAGAATTTGATGTAAATTTTGGCCGTTTTATATAAAACACCTGAATCCATTGGATTCTGGCACAAATGTTTTTTTAATAAGGTGTATTTATGGTTTTGCTCACCTTTAGTGCAAACTCTGGTAACATTTTCTGCTTCTGCAGCAGATCTATGTGAAAACGAGACAAATTTCTTCCAGAATCAGACAATTATAACTATTTTATTTTATTGTTTTTTTTTATTTTTTTTTTTACTTTTTTGGCAATAAACTGAAAAATACAGATCTTCTGCTGTTTAATTTTTAACTTTAGAAATGTATCACTCACTCCATTGGACATCATCATCACTGGACATGTCAAATTAAAGGTGCTCTTTTGTTTCATCCCATTTGTGCCCTCTTATTCCCATTTCCATGTTTTCATGTGCACTTATTTTACAAATTTCTCTTACTCGTTTGCTTTGTTTTACCTTGTAKCTGAAGACAAACACATGGCTAGCACTGCAGGCAAATTAACCAACGGCTGTGCTAACCAACAGGACAACCTTTGCTAGGAACCTATTTTCAGCTCTGTTGCTCACAGTCTTAAGAATTTGCTTACGCTATGATTTGCTTTTAATTAATCGTTGCTGTTTTTATTTTTATTTTTTTTACTTTGACAGCTCCTTTATATCAACAAAAAAGTCATGGTATCGACTCTGAAACACAGAGTAATGTTTATGCAAAGTGTCTGACACATACAAGTCTGCAGAGAAGTAGACATCTTTCTGCACACAACTCGCCCTGCACAGTTGCCAGTCACCACAACTGAGCCTAGTGACAAATGAGCAGCCATAAAAATGTGGACAGATACGCACACAAGCTAAAATGAACACACATGCTTAATCACTCTCACAGCTGGGAGCAAACATGTAAAAAAAACACACAAATGCATCCCCAAACGCAGGAGGAAATCACCCACATTAACTGTTGCACTTGGTGCAAAGACAATGCAAACCACAGGAAGTGGCAGACGCACTGTTTCTGTCTTTCTCTTCTATCTTTTTTATGTAATATGTGAATGTGTGCGCAAAGTCAAGGACTTTGCGTTAGCTGGTGAATGAACAGGTATGCTGCGCATCGTCATTGGAAGCAATTCACACTGGCTGTGCGTCTGAGAGCGTACAGGGCTACACTAAAAACCAAAAGGCATCGTTTMAAAGCACAGATGAACATTTTAAAAATTAAAGAAAAGATTGTTCATACAAGAATAATCTCTAAGTCAAAGCGTCAAAGACTTATTGCACTTATGGGTCAGGGAAATGCAACAGACTATCAGAAAAGTAAGTGAACAATAAAGAACGAGGAATGACAAAAGTAGACGTGAAGTGAAGAAAAAAAATCACAGTTGAAGACATTAATGGCTTAAAGCAAGGCTGATGGGRAGAAAAGGAGAGTGCCGTTAAAGATCCCCGTTTCACAGGCAACACATGAAAAGGAGGAGAGATGAGAAGGAGAAACTGATGAGAGGAGGAGGAGAAGGAGGAGCTGGGTAGGGGACCACGGTTTTTCCCTCTACTTACAGAATCTCCAGATCGCGCAGGGCTCGGAAAGCTCCATCTTCAATGCAGCTGATGTGGTTGCTGTCCAGTTGCCTGTACACACACACACACGCACACACACACACACCAACACACACGCACACAGATGAGAGAGAGAGATGGGAGAGAGTCAGGCGCAAGTCTGCAAGGTCCGCTCGGTCGGGGGAGGGACTAACACAAGATGGTGAATGAATGTGTGTGTATGTGTGTGTGTGCAGGGTGATACCCGAGCAGTGGGCTTAAAGTAGCAGGTGGGAGACACCGGCGGGTAGTCTTTCTCTCACACACACACACTCTCACAGACACACTCAGGGGAGAACTAGTCCAGATGGCAGCACACACAGTAAGGTGAAGTCTCACCTCTGCGCAGATGTGACCAGCCCAGAGGAAAGGAGGAGAGGAAAAGGAGCACAAGAGAGAGGAGACCGGTGTGCTGAAGTGGCCTGGCTGCCGTCAGCCTATCACCTCCTTTCCCTGCCGCCCACCCGCCGCACACTGGCCGCCGGGAGAGAGAGGAGCGAGAGAGGCAGACACGCTGAAGAGGAGAGCGAGTGTCACTAAAGCCCACCCTGCTTGTCTGTTCTGTAAATATTAATTGCATTTCTTCTCTCCCGTTCTCCTCCGCCCCCCTCCTCCCCGTGTCCCTTTTTTTATTCTTTTTTTCCCTCTCTCTGTAGTGAAAGAGGGAGTAATTTCATTACATTAGGCCAGCCAATCCATTAAGGGCCTTTTACCGGCTCTGTCACTGAAACAATTTCATTAAAAGGAAAGCCTCCGTAAATCAACCTACAGTCACGACTCTGCCTCTCATTCCCATTCTCCTTCCTCCATCTTTCTCCAATACCTTCRCCCTCCTCCCTTTGGCTTTGCTCAACGACTTGTTTGCTGCTCTTCCAGATGCACCTTGTACCCCTCTGTCATTCATCTTTTGCCTTTTACTTTAATTTGCTTAGCTCGAGGTATTCAGCTCCCTCGCCATCCAACTCTCATGAACCCAACAACCCCGAACCTCCACTCCTCCCCCTTTCTTTCCATTTACTTCCATCCGTCTACCCATCTGTCCTTCCAACCCCCCAGAGCTCAGTCGCCAGAGTAAAATGTTGCCATTCTACTTTTCTAGAAACCACAGATAGATGAATAGATGAACCTCAAGTTTTTACTTTTCTATGCAATACTTTATTACAATTCAAACCAGCATCAGTTTTCAAACATATGCAGTTTATTTGTTGTTTTGCATGGGACTCTGGAAATTGGACCTGAACTCTAACCYATATGCTAGTTAACAGCACACTCACCAGCCACTTTATTAGGTACACCTTGCTAGTATCGGGTTGGAACCCTTTTGCCTTCATAACTACCTTAATCATTTGTGGCATAGATTCAACAAGGTACTGGAAACATTCCTCAGACAGTCTGGTCCATATTGACATGATGGCATCACACAGTTGCHGCAGATTTGTCGGCTGCACATCCATGATGCGAATCTCCCGTTCCACCACATCCCAAAGRTGCTCTATTGGATTGAGATCTGGTGACTGTGGAGGCCAGTTGAGTACAGTGAACTCATTGTCGTGTTAAAGAAACCAGTCTGAGATGATTTGCGCTTTATGACATGGTGTGTTATCCTGCTGGAAGTAGCCATCAGAAGATGGGTACACTGTGGTCATAAGGGGATGGACATGGTCAGCAACAATACTCAGGTAGGCTGTGGTGTTGGCATGACGCTCAGTTGATACTAATGGGTCCAAAGTGTGCCAGGGAAATATCCCCCACACCACTGCACCACCACCACCAGCATGAACCATTGATATAAGGCAGGATGGATCCATGCTTTCATGTTGTTGACGCCAAATTCTGACCGTACAATCTGAACGTCGCAGCAGAAATCCAGACTCATCAGACCAGGTAAAGTTTTCCCAATCCTCTATTGTCCAGTTTTGGTGAGCCTGTGTGAATTGTAGCCTCAGTTTCCTGTTCTTAGCTGACAGGAGTGGCACCCGGTGTGGTCTTCTGCTGCTGTAGACCATCCGCCTCAAGGTGTTGTGCGTTCAGAGATGCTCTTCTGTAAACCTCGGTTGTAGCGAGTGGTTATTTGAGTTACTGTTGCCGTTCTGTCACCTCGAACTAGTCTGGCCATTCTTCTCTGACCTCTGGCATCAACAAGGCATTTGCGCCCACAGAACTGCTACTCACTGGATATTTTTCTTTTTCGAACCATTCTCTGTAAACCCTAGAGATGGTTGTGGGTGAAAATCCCAGTAGACCAGCAGTTTGTGAAATGCTCAGACCAGCCMATCTGGCACCAACAACCATGCCACGTTCAAAGTCACTTAAATCACCTTTCTTCCCCATTCTGATGCTCAGTTTGAACTGCAGCACATCGTCTTGGCCATGTCTAAACGCCTAAATGCATTGAGTTGCTGCCATGTGATTGGTTGATTCAACATTTGCGTTAATGAGCAGTTGGACAGGTTTACCTAATGAAAGTGGCAGGTGAGTGTATATTGAATATTGCTGTCGGATGTCTATGCTTTCCAGAAATTTAAGAAAAGAGATTTTTTTACATAAGAACAGAAAGATGAAGTGCAAATGGAAACACTGTAAAAAGTACAACTATTGAAATGTTTCTGCTTGTTTCATATCTCTGCTAGGAAACATGAGTGACAGGTTTGTTGAAGGCTCACACAAACTCAGCGAGAAAGCTGAAATAAMAGAGATCCACAGAATCAATAAAAGGAAAAACATTCAAACACACAAGAACTGACAGAACCTTTAGTTACTGTCTGCTCTCAAGACACAAGAGCATAAAAGAATACCATTCTACCTTAATCTCTCTCTTCCACCAGATCCCTCTGTTGCTAATCCCCCCTTTCTTTGACTTTTGTGTTATTTTMTTTTTTTGAGCATCCATCATCCCTAGTTTTTGTTTTCTCTACCTCTTCATTCATAATCCCTTCTTCCTCTAGTGCCTTCTCCTCTCGTCTTTGATTCTCCTTCACGTTTTCCCATCTCATAAGCCATCTATCCATTGTTAATCCATATTCCTTCTCCTTGTTCACTTTTATCAACCTTTTAAATCTCTCTTTGCTTTCCCACTGAGCCCCACTGTCTCCTTAGAATGCCGCATCTACTCTTATATCAGTCATGTCAGCTTTTACCCTGAAGAAGGTGCTTCCCGAAGCAAAAGGTTTGATTTGAAGGCAAAGAGAAATCACCTCATTGAGCTCAGTTTTATGCTTGCATGTTTTCAGTGTGTGTGTGTGAAAGGGAAGAACCTGGAAACCAGCGCACTGCAAGTAYAGCTCAATGCGCTTTGTATTTTCAACAGGGAATTACACGGAGGCTTAAGGYTAAAGTGACAGCAAGACATCAAAATGTTTAGCGTAAGGTTCAAGAGCATTTATCCCACCAACTTTACCACAGCATTTAAAATAAACAACCTGAAAATATTTAAGCACTGGCAAGACTTCTGTCAACCGCAGCAAACTGTAATTTTCATTTTTGATCATTAYACTCTCAAAGCACTTGTTTCATGTCTGACTGGATCTGACCAGCTGCTAGTTGTTCGCAGTTGGCATGAGCACAGTTTGGACTCATGAAAGTAAACCATTCAGTGCCAACAAGCCAGGTTTAGCTCGCAATATAATTATTTTCAACCCTCCAAAGGTTCCTATAAAGTGATTAGACGTTTTATTCCATTTTGATGTATCGCAGCCATACTTTGAAGAAGATTTTGAGCGTGCCTGCTTTGTCCTTTCATTAATTGAACGCAAACTCTTGGAGGGTTTAGGTTTCATCAGAGTGGGGCTCTGAACAGTTTTGTTTTACATAATGAAAAATGGTTTAATAGGATTTGAGATATTTCTCTTTGGTGCCCACTTGTTGCAGGAGAGTTGTAAGCTTGAGCATCTGTTAAACAACTTGAGACTAAAACACAGCGAGTCTGGGGATCATGAACATATGGTAATGCCATGTTTGTGTTTTATCTAATTAAAAGGCTGTTTTGTTTTTTGGCAGGAAAGCTGGCACACCGCCTGAGCTGCCATATGTAGATGAATGATACTGCAGAAGTCGACTTCTTCTTTTGTTTTCACTACTATTATTTTAAGGATATTGAATAAAAAAGTAAAGAGTTAATGATTTTATGTTACGTTTTGAACATGGAGAAGAACCCAAATCCAGACAGAGGTAAGAGTTTTTGTAAGAACATAATTTATTTTACAAAAATAAAACAAAAGGCTGTCAAGGCAGTAAAAAAACTAGATAACAAGATCAACTAAGGAGAAACATATAACAGTTGGGTGAAAGCAAACAATGAGCMAGTGAGTGGGTGTGGAGTAAAAGACCAGTATATATACAAACACAGGGAATGAGTAAATGAAGAACACCTGGTGGCAGGACTGATTGGGGATGGCTAAGCAGGTGAGGATGATTGATAATTGACTAGGATGACTAGRAYAACTGGAGGGTGGAAACACAGGGAAACACAAAAAATAACAAAATACACATCCTCACATTTTATTTTTTTCTAGAATAAAGTTTCTATAAKACATAACTTAAAAATACTTTCATAMAATAACACTTRGTAAMAACACTAATAATGATGCCATGAGTTATAAATAAATTCACACTGGTTACAATTTTAATTTTATTTTTGCTGCAGTTGAGCATTTGAGTAGCAGCCAAATTGTAAAAATTAAGAACTTACACAAACAGCTTTTACCAGTACGGCTCCGCATCATTACTGACACACTGGTTATTTGTTCAAAGGTGATTTCTTATTTTATATAAACCGCCTTATATCATGACTGTTCTCCAAGAAGCACAGTTGTTCACATATTGCAATTTCCAGCCCTTACTCATCAACACAGGTATCCAAATAAAAAGTGGATTTGTCAAAAATGTCTCCATAGTTTAAAGATCCAAATTGGGCAATCATAATTTTCAAACATCAATGAATAGCTGTGAAAAGTGAAATTTCTTACAAATTCATTTCTTCTGACAACCCTTTTTAACTGCCTGCATCTTTTTATGAAAGTTGTCGTATAACTGGA